TAGATCTTGTACTACCTTATATATTTCAAAACATGCCGAAGCCCGAAGCCCAACAGGTCAATTACATGAACCTTGTGCAATACACCGCGGTGCAAAAGGCAACAGGCAGCCTGCCAGATGAGAGAAGAGATAGAAGAGCAGATAGCCAGATACATGATGACAACAACCAGGAAAGGCCACTCCTAATTCCCTAGCATATGCACCCACTGTAGCATAGCATTTTTTATCCTCCTGACGTCGTGCTATATATATCCACAATTTGGCCCCATAATAGTTTCGAATATGGCAAATTTTCACATGCTCCCTCTTACCCCTCTTTATACATGTGAGTGAAGAAGGTAAGAGTCAATCAGACCACAAATTAATAAGATCAGCGGCTCAGATCTTATCTCATGTGAAAAGAGGGGGTAAGAGGGAGCATGTTAAAACTGCTCTTCAAATATATGTTTTGCAAATCACATTTTTTATAATTTATTTAGGCAAAAATATGGGTTTTAAGAAGAAGAAGAAGATTGTTGTATCTGAACCGTTATGGATTCAGTAACAAGTTGGGAGAATTCGGTAGACGCGAAGTCGGCACGTCGATGACCCTGACTGTTGTTGGACCCGTGGCGACCACTGAGAAGGTAGGGAACATGCGAGAGGGGAGGTTGAACGAGGAGGGGAGGTGGGGTTTATTTGGAAAGATTCGGTGGGGAGGCCACAACGTACGTGGGAGGGGAGGTCGAACGAAACGAACAAAACAAGATTTCAGTGAAAATGGAGACATGCGGGTGGCACAGAAGAAAAATTATCTCGAAAAAGTTGTGATCATAGATAATAAATGACATAGTGCTCGGGATTAGCGAATTATTATTGAGAAATATCTAATTTTGTTTTGAAAGGAGGAAAAACAATCAGTGCATACCGGTCTACAAACTCCTTTTTTAGGAGTAGAGATTTAATAATAGAGATAATAACAAATAATAAATGTCATAGTGCCTGGTATTAGCGATTTGTTATTAAGAAATAGTATTTCGTTTTGATTTGAAAGGTTATTGAGAAAAATCTTCTCTCTGTCTTTTAAGAAGGTGATCAAATATGTATATGTATATAGTGTGATTTTCTTAATAATTCATTACCTAGTATTTAGGTTATTGAATTGAACCGGCGCCATCTGCCAAAGCAAGCATAAAAAACGAAAGAGGGATCGAGCAAATCGATTTGGTTTTCAGTGTGAGGGAGAGAAAAAACAGTGTGGTGAGGTGAAAATAAACCGTGGATCTCAGCCTACCGAATCCCGTTTTAGGAGTAGAGAGATGGTGATCGGTGGCTTGCAAACATACTTTTATTTTCCCTTTCCTTTATTTTTCGTCACTAGAAGTAGAAGATTTCCACAAAGCTGTGACCTTGGCTAGTGCAAGAGTTGAAGAACCATCCATGGCTAGCGCATGTGTGGCTCTGTCTCTGAGCTCACCAGCACGCATCCTCATCGTCGTTGCTTCGTCTCCATCCATCACACGTCGGATCACGCTCACGATCTCTTCCTTGCAGACAAAGCCGTCGCCGTTGCCCGGTCCGGCGGCGTTCAAGCGGGCCGCCACCCCTGAGTGGGCCTCCAACATGGCAGCGTTCATCTTCTGCTCGGCGTAGAGCGGCCATGCCACCATCGGCACTCCATTAAGGATGCTCTCCAGGCTCGAGTTCCACCCGCAGTGCGTGACGAAGCACCCGACGGCGGCGTGCGCGAGGATCGCCGTCTGCGGGGCCCACGACAGGAGGACGAGCCCCACCCCCGCCGTCCTCTCGACGAATCCCTCCGGCAGGAAGCCGAGCGGGTCGTCGTCGTCGTCTCCTCCTCGGCCAGTTCCGAAGAAGGCGCCGTCCGCCGTGTCCTCGTGTGGCCGCTTTGCCGCCCAGATGAACGGACGCCCGGTCGCCTCCAGCGCGAGCGCTAGCTCGGTTGTCTGCCGGCGCGTGAGCGTGCCACCGCTCCCGAACGACAGGAACACCACGGATCCACGGGGCTGCTGGTCCAGCCATGTGATGAGGCGTGCGTGCTCCGGCTCCCGGTTCACGCCGGTCGCGACTGGCCTTGTCCAGACCAACGGCCCGACCGCGTGCACCGGCATGTCCTTCACGCCGTCCGTGCCGCCTTGCCCCACCGCGGGCTCCACCTCAGGGAACGTGTTCACGAGAATCCCGTCGACTCTCGCGGCGTCCTTGGCCAAGGACAGGAACCCGGCGTACGTGTCGCTGCTCCGGTCGGCGAGCATGGACCCGGGAAGCTCGGGCGCGTGGATCGGCACGCAGCCCGGCAGCCGGATGGGCCCCGTCGCGTCCCGGTACTCCCCGACGAGCCCCGCGTCGAGCTCCGGGAGGTGCAGGAACAGGGACAGGAGCATCCACGGCGAGGTGAAGAACATGTAGCACGGCACGCCCAGCTCCGCCGCGACGTCGCGCGCCGGCACGCTGGCCATGTCCACCACGAGCGCGGCGAGCGGTGCGGTCGAGGCCAGCGACCGGGCGATGTCCCGGACTTGCGGGACAGCGGAGAGGGCGGCGTGCACGACGCGTCCGCGCACGGTGGCCGAGGGCGGCAGGGCGTCCTCCGGTGGCGCGGGCAGCGCGACGAGGTCGACGCCGTCGGGCACGGACGCGGCCAGGGCGGCGTACTGCTCCGAGGGGGCGTCCGTGGCCGCGGCGAAGAGGAGCGTGGCGGCGAGGGCGTGGTCGGCGACGAGCCGGCGCGCCAGCTCGGCGAAAGGGATGAGGTGCCCCATGCACGGGCTGCACAGGAGCAGCACGTGCGGCCGCGCGCTCGCCGGCGACGGGTCCTGGTTACCTGGCTCGCCGCCCATGGCGCCGTACGTGCGCGACGTCGTGCCGAACAGAGTGGCGTGTTTTGGTTTCCGAGTTCGGGCTTGGAGTTGGAGTTAACGCTGCCTCGTCATTTTTGTACTCCTTCCGTCTCTCAGTTGGTGTCACAAATTAGAGCCGGTGGGTCCCTTGTGTGGCGTCATGGTTGACATCACTTTCACCCGAAAAAAAAAAATGGTTGACATCACTTTAAGCCAACGGTAGGTAGTAGGGCTACAAGTCAAATTTAGCATCTCGATCCAGAAGTTAACGGTTACTGTAGTTTGCTAGTCAGGTTTATCCAGACAGAATCTGGCCCATGAGATGGAAAAATAGAAATAATCGGCGTGATGCTGGACAGGAGGTTGCTTTTCAGAACACAGCAAGGTTCCTAGTATTACTGAAAAAACCCCACCCTGCGTCGAATTGAATTGGAATTTGTCATGTCCCTGCGTGACGTGGATGGAATCCAGATGACCCTTAGGGCTTGTTCGGTTGCAATAAAATTGAAGGGGAATGAAGTGGATTGGGGTGGATTAAATCCCAGACAAGTCAAAATCTTATCCAATCCCCTTCAAACCTCTTCAATCCCCTCCAGGAGAGGTTTAACCGAACAAGGCCTGAAGGTTGTGCCACGACGCCATGTGGATACTTCTTCTTTTCACTATCACTTTGCCAAAGAAAATTCGTCTCTGAAGTAAGGGCCTGCTCTTCCCACTCATCAGCCACATCGAAACTGCAGCGCAACTAGACCAAATTCTGAATGCCGTACGGCCACAGCCCACAGGTATGCTAGTAAGCAACAAAATTGTTCTTTTCCCAGTCCACGTTTGGTGCATCAAATAAATGTAATGGATTTGTTTTCTAAAGTGTGTCTGTGTACGAGTAAATAATATGGAGCATTATTGTAACTACGTCCCTGATAATTTACAACAATCACCCTGAAGTTTCCGTTCCCTTACGGGGCAAAATTTCATCGAAAATTTCGGCAGCATAACGCGTCGCTGCGTTGGGAACGAAGAGCAGCAACATGCATGCACAATGGCGCAACAAATCAAATCGCTCCACGGCCATGCTTCCTGTTTTGTGCATCATGGCGGATCTTTAATTCCCATGGAATTATTTCTAGCTAGATTATTTATTTTAAAAGGAACTGTTTAGCTCACTCATAGAGTAAATGTATTGCAGCTGCGCTGATGTTGGTGCGACTTGTCGGTGCTTATGCTAACCGCAAAATCATTTTTCAAGACAAGATAGTGATTGGGGGTCCTAAACTAAGTATATGCTAGACATTTCTGTTTGCAAGGATCAGACTAGCTAGCTAGTCTCTTGGGCTTTCTTGAAGAAACTACAACCCAAAATTCAAGCTGGGTGTTCGATTTTCACGGCTAGACAGGCACGTGCTGGCCATAAGTTTGTTGTAGCATCCTCCGGAGTTTAACGCCTGTGCTCATCATTTTAAACTGCCGCAACAAAGTTGAATGGGTTTGAGTTTTCTGCTTGCATTACTGCAACTTGCCTTCAACTGAGACATTACGAGTACTGACCTAGTGCCTGCTAACATTTTCTGCCCTAATCTAGCATGCATCAACCACGTGTACTTACTAAATCAATTAATCACTTCAGACATTTATGCCAGTAGCAGCAAGCAAAGGCGCCAGCCACCACCTCTAGTTACTAAGAAAAGGATGAGTTAGTTGGGTTGAATTGAACCTCAGTTCTTGCTGAAACAAAATGCTATTACTACTTCACCATACAACAACAAAGTGATTTGAGTTTCAGAGAAAGGGAGTTCTCCAAAATAGACATAGAAAAAATGTAAGTAGGTGCTATTTTACAAAGAGATAAATGTAATTTGTTTCTCCAATCAAGTTCACGCTTCGTAGCTTTGTGTATGTAAGCATGGGAGTAAATGTATATGTCTAACATTAGCTAAACATTCTTTGAAACCCAATAATCCAAAGCAAAGCAAAGAAGAGCATAATATACTAGTACAACCTAATAAGCAAGCTGATATATAAGTATTATTCAACAAGTATTTACGTACTCATAGTTCAAAGAAGGACTGGATCAGTGGTAGCATAGTTGCAGTAGAAGTAGAACAGAAGCAGTAGTTTAAACACAAATTCGGAACTTCGGCAGCAAACACTTAGCAGATAACAATTAGAATATGCCTAACATTAGCGAAGGACTGGAGGTGCTGGTCGGAGGGCTCGTCGGCGGCTGGAACTGGCCACCGAACGACATCGATCCATGGAGGGGGGTGTCTGGGGTACTCGCCTCCGCCACGGTCACCTGTTGGCGTGAAGCGCAGAGATCGAGCAGACCACAACACGACATGGACGATGTAGATGAGGCGAGGTGAGGAGTAGATGGAGAGAAAGGAGGAACACGGGGAGGAGGGACTGGATCGATGTTTATAGGGAGAAGATGAGGGCGTGCAGCCAACAGGAGAGAGAAACGCAAGGAGGCGTTGGATGCCAGATCGATCCGCGTGAGGCGCACTGAGTGGATGATGGATAGACGAACGACTCAAGGAGAGGGACGTGGTAAATAGAGGAGGAGGCGGCGCCTCGTTGCAAGGATGAATTAAAGGAAAACAACGGCGTGGAGAGAAACTTAAGTCAGGACCCACTGCATGCACCAATCGACATGCCATGCACTATATTATCTCTTGAAGAGGAACCGCATCCCCACGGAGCGGCCGTTGCATGCACCAGTCACCATCATGCACTAACCACTACCGCTTTTGGGAGGAACAGCTCCCCGACTTTGACGAGACGACTAGTAAACCGACCCGGATTGGGTAGTATCTATCCATCTTTTTTTGTTTATTTTTATGAGGATAATATCTACTCCTGATCTAAACACCCTTAAATTTCTTTACGGAGGGAGCATCTATCTATCTTGGATCATGGATGCGTTTCAGTCTAGAAGCTGTTGTGTGTGTCTTTTGCTGCTGGCTGCCTGGCTGGAATGGATGTTGTTTGTCACAGAGATCGGATATTTTCTTCTTTCTTTCTTTAGCATGATAGGACTATTACTGATAACGTCTTGGAAAGACTTTTGCATCTCTATCTACTACTCCCTTCATGTCAAAAAACGTCTTACATTATGGGACGGAGGGAGTATATTTTTTCTTTTCATTTTTTGAGGGGCTGGTATCTATCTTGGGAGCAATCTGCTACTGGTTATCTATCTACTTTGGCGCTATACTTCTCTTGCTGTAACGCAATGTACCACTTCCTTCAGTCTATAGCAACCTAAGTTGTCATACGTACCTACATATCACTCTCGGCCATTTCCTCCGCATTGCCACATTTCCAACAAGGTTTTGAGCCTTGCATCCTCCTCCTGTATCATCATCAATACCAGGATTCATAAGCCAATCAGTGTCTCCTTCGCATACACAATTAAACAACAACAGGGCACGCATGCAAATGCATCGGCCAGACAAAAGGCACAATAGTAGGAATGTGACATGATTTTATCAAGCCGCAGCCTCAATCAATCAACCAAATCAAGCCACACGTACATCAATATTTCTATGGATCTTGGTCCAGATGTCTGAAAATTTGAGAAGCATTATATTGTAACAATGATACTATATACCCTATATAGTCCATCCATACCATCACCAGGATGGGTGATGCCTCTGCTACAAAGAAAGAGAGAAATAAATGCATGCACAAGGGCACTACTACATGGCCATTTTGTAGTTCACATGGAAGGAAAAACAACCCTACCATGAGCTACTTAATTATACTTGGCCACAGTATATAAAAGCATGCAGGGTTGCCGCCACACTATTACACCAAGAAACGGCCATTGTCATGGACATGGGCATCTCCATCCAGTTCCCATGCCCCTTGCTTGTTGTGGGCAGCCACCCTAGTTGCTTGCTCTTGGTTTCTCTTCCTTAAGCATAGAAATCTAATCTTAAGTATCTTCTCTTGACTTTCACAACTAGCAGCTCTTCATCTCCGCAAAACAAAGAAAACAACTTTAAGCCAACACATCTATCAAAAGCAGTAAAGTATGCAGATTGTTGTTCTTCTCATTCCAGTTATGACCAAGATAAAACAAGTGCATTGTATGCGTCCACTAGTATTCACACAACAAAACAAATATCTTGCGCTGTTTCAATAACAAAACCCATCAAAAAGATCCAGATAGTCATAAATGTGTCAAGATAAACATGATGGTTCCAAACATGCAAGATAGATCAACTCAACTCAGTTAAAACTGCAGAGCTTTCGAATAAATTATGTGTCCAAGATCATGACACCACCATTAGACTTCTTTGAATAATCATTGGTCCCAAGGCACGCTAGCTAGCAACAAGACTAGAGGATTCAATCTCTAGCTACAAGCGCGATAGGAGCAGAACATTGTCACGAATAATTCAATACACGACACGATAAGAAGAATCTGTAATGCGGAATAGATTAGAGGACACACCTTGTAAAAGGAACCAACTTCCTCATTAGCAAACATCTTCTTGGTGACAGTAGTAGCAGAGCCCTCGACCACCTGGATCTTCACCTGAACAAAACAACCATCAATTAAGTGTTTTGATCCTAGAAACCTACACTCAATACCATTCCACAAAAAGAAAAAAGGAAAACCTAAGAGCGGGCACGTCTCATGGAAATCAATCCTTTAACAAAAACAATATTAGACGGCAGCAGAGAGGGATCTGGTCAGGTAGAAATTCTAAGAGAAGACCATCAACCAAAACAACCAACGCACCCAAACAGCCGGCAAAAATCAGACCCCGGCGAGGCAAAATGAACACACTGGTGTTTGTACTCTTCCTCCATCAAGAAAGTTCAAAGTCGAAACTGAATCTATTTCCTTATCTGTTAACTTCTCATCAGGATAGTTGCATACATGGTTTATGCATGAGCCCAGAACATCGAGATAGTTTTGAGACATAATGACACTAACTGACCACAAATGGTTCATAGTTAGATAGGTATTCAGACGTGGCAAAACTTTG